TTTATCATAAACTAGAAATCCACAGACCCCCTCACTAGACAGAAAGCACTTCATCCAGCAAATGCTTCTCAAAGGTTTGATTTACTTTTTTTTTTTCCCTGGGAGAAGAGATTGGCCAATTGACACTATGCAGCAATCAGAAAAGGCTCGCTCACTTTTGATCTTGCTGCTTGTGCAGCCGATGAAACGGCTCCTGCCATTGGTTAACTGCTGACAGTAATTTAATTAGATAGACATTAATTAGGATAATCACCTGGCTCCTGGTCGCGACGATCGTGGCAAATTGAAGGGGATGATTTTATTGTTGGCTGCGGGGGGGCGGGGGGAATGTGTGGTGGTTTTACGTGAGCACTGTTGTGTCACCTTTAAGCTTTGTGACCACTGCTTTAGGAAGATTCAAAGATGTGCAATTTACTAAACATTTTCCTACCCCCACCCCTTCTTTCGAGCTGAGGGGCGGCGGAGGAGGGAATTCGACGATGCTAGGAGACTTCGGATCTGAATGAGCCAAATATTCTGTTGAATGTAACAATTTCAAGTGCAAAGTATACAAAGCTCGAGCCGGTGGCCTCTTCTCGCCCTGTAAAAGTTCCAGAGTCTGTCTTTTCCAGTTAATACAGAAGCACCCAACACCTGAGCCAGTCTTTTGTGAGGAAGTCCTGCGTGTCCTCCCCGATCCCCACCCCAACATACCCCTTTTAAATACATTAAATAAATAAATAAATCACTGCTGCTGAGAGCCACGGCGTTGAAAGTGGGCGGGAAGAGGGAGAAGTGGGGGGTGAAAAGCAGCAACTCACCCACCCATCCACCCACCTCAGGAAGGTTCGGTTTCATGGGTGAGCACAGAAACAATGACAATCTATGATCTTCTCTTTAAGTTTTGAAATAATCATCGCTGTCGGGCTGAAGTGACTTAATGTATTTTCAGCGATGTTTATGAGGTCTTAACTAAATCTTTTATCAGCGAGCTTGGTTGCATATTATCTGAAGAGCATGTAACTGGGGGCAGGCGCCCTGCATCTCTCGCGTCTGACTGCACTTCCTTCTCTCTGAGTTACTGGCTTAGCGACAGGTTCAAAAGCCTCGCCAGGAAAAGAGAGGGCCGGGTCCTCTTGCAAATTGGTTCGCTAGAGGCACTGATCTGGGGAGACAGAGTGGAAGTGTTATCAACGCAGTGATCGTTTCTGAAGACTCGTGTGTGCGCGCGCGCGAGCGCGCCCGCGTAATGTTTATATAATCTGGAGGAGAGGAAAAGAATCCATGCCAGTGATTTTAAAATGCGGAAAAATTTGAGGAGAAATAGAGAAAAATAGCAATTTAAAAGGATGTTGGCATAAATAACAAGCATGAGGCCAAAGCGACCCCCAGATGTAGGATGAAATCTCCCAGTACTCGCTCTGCAGAACAGCCAGCCCCCGCCTGGAACCAGAGGGTCAAGAGCATCAGAGGCCCTAGGCGCCCAAAGCGGCTTCCCACGGCGCGGCACCCGCGGACCTGCCCTCCTGCGGCTTTCCCGGGACGCGGAGACGCGCGGAGTGCGGAGCGGCGGCTCCGCGAGGGGCCCTGCTGGGGTTGGCTGGCGGCGGGCGAAGCCGCCACTCCCACCCCACCCCTGCGCTCGGTCCCAGACCACCAGCTGCCCAGCCCTGGTTCATTGTCTAAGATTCCCCAGCGACCTGAGAGAAGGCCCCCCAGGACCCTGGCGATCCTGAGAGGGAGCCGCCGCCCGGGAGGCTGAGGAAGCGCGGGCGAGCGGCGTCTGGCGCAGACCTCGGGGCACGCACTCGTGCGGAGGCGCGGCTGAGCTCCTCCGCCCGGTGGCGTCTGTGCCTTCGGAAGAGCTTGTCTGTCCACCTCGGGCCCTAGCAGCTCTCTGAGGAAGAGGGGCGCTGGGAACTTTGCGTCGGGCCTGGGCAGGGGCAGAGAGGGGTTAACCAGACTCGACCAACGCCTAGGCGGGCGCATGTTTAGATCCGGGCCTCGGTGGGCCCAGCGGTCTGCGCAGAGCTCAGACTGCGCCCCTGAGGCGGCTGGCCACCTAGGCTGCAGAAGGCGCCAGCTGCGGCTCCAGCAGGGCGCAGGGCGCGGTGAGCGGTGCCCGGCGCGGGCGGCCCTGGGCTGGATAGGTTGAGGACCAGATGTCCCAGAATCATGCCGAGACGGTTTTCTGGGGAAAAAATACAGCCAGACCCATTTTTCCATTAGGAAGTATATCTCAGCTCCTTGATAGGAAGTTTCATAAACAAGCAGGGCCTTAGCTGTTGAGGCGTCGCGTGTGACTGACACCATTTGACAATTGTTTTATTCTGCCCTTTACCTTCCACTGCCATTTCTCATGAGAGGCTTTTGCTCTATTTTGGCTACTTTTCCCCCCCCTTTCTTTGGTCATTAAATTCTTTGTCCCTGCTTGTCTTCCCTCTTCATTGCTTCCAGTTACCCCCTCCTTCCTCAGTGGGACACAGAGCTTTAAATGTGTAGCAAAACGGTGAGACTCCACCTGGGCTCTTTTTGAGGCATTGTCATTCTTAGCATCCTAAATTGACTTTTTTTTTTTTTAAATGACAAATGCTAAAATGAAATGTTAAAGTACAGAAAAGGGTTAGAGTGCACTTCCCTCAGTTAAGGAATTGGATTAGGAGATAAATGTGCACTCACTTTAAAATATCAGTACTAAATCCAGTGATTTCTCATATATAGGCTATGCCTTTAATTTATATGTACTCAAAAAGAAAAACTAAGGCTTGCCCCCCGGATCGGCACACCTGATTTTGAACCATATTTATGCAGAGCAGGCTTCTCTAAGTGCATTTTGAACCATGCCAGGAATATTGATTTTGATTCATGGCTGGAGTAGGGCCTGAATTCTGTATATATAATAAGCACCTAGAAGACCCAGGTGTTCCTATTCCAGGCAAATCACAGTAAATAGTGAGGTTGGAATTTTCAATGCCTCTATGCTAGTTTAAGAGTAAAGCTGTGAGATCTTTGTACTTAGAGGTACGCAAGCCTTTTAGTTCTAGTGCTGCTTTAATGTTGTATATAGTACATGAGTAAAGATGCTCACATACACACACACACACACCTCAAGTGGCTCATCGAGCTTTTAATTCAGGAAGTCGTTTCAATGCCTTCTGAGCCTTGGCCATCAGGCTGCTGCTAAAATAGCGATACATTCTGACACAAAGGTGTATTCAATGAGCTTCTCCGGGAACCCTAATTCTGATAGACTCCGAATCTACAAAGAAAATGTAGGTTTTTGGTAGCAGGAGTTCCCATGTGGTTTTGAAACTGGGTATGTCTCCAACATGAACCAAGTGAGAGGAAGTGGTATGTGGCTGTGGGGAATCCAGGAAGGTGAGGTGATCACACAAGAGGGAAAAAAAAGGACAAGAATTGAGACCTCTCAGTCACTGTACTCATTCAGGAGATATTTTCAGGGGGGTAAAGTGGGAAAAAGTAGTATTTCCAAACAGAATGTTGAGACTAGCCCTTGTATTAATTACTGGGGCCTTCTTCTGAGCGCATATTGTACAAAAAAAAACAACAAAAAAACAAAAAACAAACAAACAAAAAAACACCCAAAAAGACTAGCTCTAATGAACACTGTGAAAATAAGCCATAGAACCTTCTTTATCTAAGGGAAAAAATCATGTATCTAAAAAAATGGGCCACACAGTTTAAATTAGGCAAAAGGAAAACTTACACTTACATTTTAATTATAAATGATTATTGTTGTAATCCCAATACATATTACATGTCCTACATAAAATACACTATCACTGTATTTATAAGACCAAACCTCAGGAAGAGCAAGAAATGCTCAGAATATCTATTTCATTAAAAAAAAGAGAAAAGACTGCAAAACACGGTGGGAATTTAAGACATTTCCAGTTTTAGTTTGTTAGCTTATTAGGCAGGCAATAAGAACCCAGAATTGTTCAAACAGGGTAGGATTTCAGGCTACCACTTCATTCATACCACCTCTAGTAGAGGCTAAAGTCTAACTTCTACGTCCCCAAGTAAAGCCCTCCTTTAATGAAGCCTTAGAAACACTGTTTGGCATAGTCTCACAAAGGGTATAGGTAGGAATTAAATCTTTGTCTCCAGCCCTGGCAGAGGAGCTCGCTTGGTTGGAGCATCCTCCCGATGCCCCAAGGCTGTGGTTCAACCTCTGGTCAGGGCACATATAAGAATCAACCAGTGAGTGCATAAATGAGTAGATATCAATGTTTCTCTCTCTCTAAAATCTGTAAATAAAAAATCGAAAAATATCTTTGTCTCCTTGTGTTTTGCCAGCACCCCTTGGTGTACACAGTACAGTGCTGCACCATGAGTGAATATTAATGGGGGCTGAACTTACCTACATCAGGTTCAAAGCAGGTTGTGGGATGAGGCTGTTTAACCAAAACTGCCATTAGTCACATTTTTGTCTTTATCAGAAAACTGAGTATTTCTAAGTTACTTTGAGAAAGATAAAATCACAACAAAATTATTGCTTATGTGCTCATTATATTAAACTCATATTATGGCTACTTTTTTCATTTTGTTTGAAGACGTTATATAGTATACCTTCTATGGCTGTCTCTACTGAAAGTCTGGGAGCTTGCAGCAGGCAATTCCCACATAATCTCAGTGCTACTAGTAGATTGTACTCTTTTAAAAACTGATAAAGTCTACATCAAAATTGTCCCCTTCTAAAATGCACTCTTCTGAAATCCTGAACATATGTTAACAAGATATATTGCATATACAATATTAACGTGTGACAAATACTTTAAATGAAATGTCAGCATTTTTTGTTACCCACTAATGAGGTAGCCACTCATTAATAGCAATCATTTTACATTTGTGAAGTTATCACATTGATGTTTTATGTGTTATAAAATCTTAAAATGCAAAAGGGAAACACATCTTAGTGTGAGATTTCTAAAGCACTGTCAAACGTTATTCTGTCAATTCCACCCAGTGCCAGAAAGACCTCGGGAGACATAGATTGTAAATGTATTTTATTTTGTAAGCAACAATCAAAATATATTTGTGTTACTGATTTCTTCAAATATTAAATGGGATCTTAACAAAATTTGTCCACTTTGATGTATTCTTATACAACTTTGGAATCTGCAAAGACCCTGACTAAAGAAACAGAAGTAATTGCACAACTGAGACTGAAGGTGTTACAGTGCTGCAAATGATGCCAGATGTCTTACATTTAACCAAATACACCTTCAGAGGTCCCTTGATTTGGAGCATTAGGAACAATTGAGTAATATACACTGAAAGTATCTCTCAAAGCTTTCTGTGTTGCTTTATTTAAATACAACAGTATCCAACATAGCTGCTAAACACTGGACAATATTTGACGTCATAAGTACATCCACATGTTCTTCCAAGTGACGTTTGGGGTCCTAAAAGAAAAAAAATAAAGAGAAAGAAAAAAGAACCATATTACTGGAAGACAAATTACTTAAGATTTTCTTTCAGTAGCTGATGAAATTAGTCAAAAAAGCCAAACCTAAATGATATATATTTTACAATTTAACTTTCCTAATTTATTGTTATATTTTTAGGATTTCTAAATCTGTTAAAAATTTAACTAATAGATTACACAATAAAAGACTGAGTTATACAGAGTACCTTTAGACTCTGTACCAAAAAAAAAATGTATCAGAGAAAAGTGTATAGGTACAACCCTTTAGGTTAAACCTGATCAAATCTATGTTTGAAATGTCTGAGGTAAAAAAAAAAAAAAAAAGCAAGCTTAAGATTGCATTGTGTTAAAGGATGTTAAATCAAAATCTTAGTTTATACTTAGGTTTAATGCTGAGGCGAATGAAGTATTTCAGCTAAATTTGAAAGCTTTGAAATAAAGGATATATATTGCACACAATAAAAAACTTTCAATTAAAACATATTTTCTTATGAGCATTGCTAAAATACCTAAGACTCCTAACTTTAAACAAATGTTCATTACTGGAATTATTTCCTGGCTGTTCTCTTCTAAGCTACAATTTCAATAAACTTGATTTCTTTAAACAACCCAGAGATACAACATGCTACAAATAACTCCAAGTAACTAAACCACGAAATTAAATTTTCTTTATTTCAGAAATAAGAGCTAGGGCATTTTAGGTGAAAGAGACTGCAAACGACTGGCAGGAATAAATGATTATTGGTCTAGTTCCATTATAGACAGTTTTGCTTTTGCTGTGAATAGGCCAAACCAGTGAAGTACTATATATTTAAAACGATTCTGATATTTGTTATACTTTGCCAATTATACATGGTCACTTTCATGTTTGTTTTAATTTTGTCCTTTTATTTACTGCTAATTGTTATATAAAACCTATACACCAAGAAACTATAGCTTTAGGGAGTCATTTAGTCAAAAAATAGTTACTGGATTTTACAGTCCAAGGCTCCAAGTTGGTGATCTAAGATTACACATTGTATGAAAATAAGTAGTGGGTAAAAGACAACAGGAGTGACTACGTCCCATAGATGAGAGAGTAAGATGAACTATATTTTATTTTGATTTTGGAGGGTTCTTGTTGTTTTTAAATTATGATACTCAGAATGTAGTGAGATTTGATTTCACCAATTGTGGTATTTTTAAGTTAGACTTTTGCCCCTACTGCTCTATTGGAATAACTGGTTTTGTAGTGAAATGGTAACACACTTCCCTCAGTTATCTACATTACTTCTTGTAGCAGCTGGGTGATTCTTAGAGATTTACCATCCAAGAATGGTCCTGGCCCAAACCTACATAGCTTGTGAGATGTGATGGGATCAGAGCATATGGTAGGATGGCTGAAAGCAAAGACAGCTTAGTGTCTTGCATCTGAAATATCAAGATTCTGCCAACATCAGCAATATGATAACCATGTTCCATGAAATGAAAAAAATGTAATCAACATTCTTTAAAAAACAGTCTAATTAATCTGTAGATTCTTTTAATTGGCTGGTGTGTTCCCCCCAACCCTCGGAAAATAGGAACTAAAATATATATTTCACTTTGGAAAATGAAAGAGCAAATACTTAAACCACTTTCTCTTAACTCAGTATAATCCACTAGGGCTCTAAACCTTCTCAGGAACATTACCTACATACTGAAGACTACATACTGATAAATTATATCATTTACAAACTGTTACATATGAAATAAATCTACCATTCTATTACCTTCACTAATGCTATTATTTCAAGTAAAAGTAATACTTAAAAATTAACTCAGGACACAAGTTTCCTAATTTATTTTAGTAAGTTATTTTCACTAAAGACCTCAGAGGCATATTTGTGATCTACTTCTCTTTAAGTGGCAAACTGAATATGACATCAAATAATTCAGTGATCTTTAAAATTAGCATCACAACAAAGGAAAAAGGACTCACGGACATGGGCAACAATGTGGTGATTGTAGGGGGCAGGGCGTGTATAAGGGAGATAAATGGTAATGGAAAAATACAATAAAAATAAATTTAAAAGAAGAAAAGTAAAATTAGCATCACATTTACATGACAGAAGAAACATGTAGAATGAAAATGCAGGGGGAAAAATATCATACAGGCCCTAAAACAGTTTTAACTCGGCAAGAGCATGTTATTGTGCGACTGCATAACCTATTACAGTACACCTCACCTGCTTGCCAACATTCTTTATTGCCAGCTGTTCAGGTGTCATCTTATCTTCTTCTTCTACTGCCTGTGAATGAAACACAAAGGACAGAGTTTCAAATTCTAAATTTACTTTTCCCACTGTAGAATAATCACCAAAGATAATAGCTATCATAATTTTTATTCATATAACCTTTTAATACAGTAATTTATGGAACAAAAAAGCAATTTTACCAATCGTTAGAAAATCCTTCAGAATAATGAAAACTGTTAGCACCATCATTGTGAGAACAGACTTTAAGAAATATGTAAAAGGTACTGAAAACATCAAATTGGACTATGAGTTAACCATTTGGAAACTTCTGGAATTCTCTGAGGGACGGCTAAACTGCAGGATAAAAGACGGCCTGAGGTAGCTGATGCTGACCCTGTGGTACTAACTGTCTTATTGTCTTCTTTTCCTTTTCCTAATTCACTATAGCTCTGCCACAATTTCCCATTTCTTTGTTTCCTTTTTCTTGTCAACTGAGCCTGCTTATACTCAGAATCAATCAATTTAACTATCACTAGCACCTGGGTTCAAAGGTGCTGCTGAAAGGAGGACTTTTTTTAAAAATTCTCACCTGAGGATTGTTTTTATTGACTTTAGAGAGTGAGGAAGGAAGGGAGAAAAAGAGAGAAAGAGAAACGTTGATCAGTTGCCTCTTGAACAGGCCTTGACCTGGGATCAAACTCACAACCCAAGCATGTGCCTTGACCGGGAATTGAACCCACCATCTTTTGAATGCTTGGGTTCATACTTCAATCAACTGAGCCACCTTGGCCAGGGCAGAGCTGATGACTTTTGATCCATTTCACAGATCATACAGTTTTCTCCCTTAATAACGTCACATATTTAAATCTCTGAAGGTAATACATGTATTCAGGAAAAAAACCTCACTTTTCCATATAAGTGATTTTTAGTAATCATGAAGAAATACAGAATAATTTGAAGTTTTCAACATCAAAAAAATACTTTAATTTAAAGCCAAATCAAATAAAAATCAAATCAACCAAAACAACAAAATACACAAACCATTTTCTACTATTTCCAGAGTTAGCTACAAACTTTTTATGTGTATGATCATAAATTTTCTATCAGAGTAATTCTGAGATAATTACAGCATTTAGATTAGCCACCACCACTGTCCTCTCACAATACTGGCACCACCCCAACACCTCCTTACTGGGAAGGCTAAGCTTAAGGAACCTCCTTCTTAACAGTGTGGGTATGTCACTGCCTGAAGCTAGGACTCTACTACATCAGGTGAACTCCTGGTCTATGGTTTATTCATAGCACCTGAAAATGGGTTGGGAGGGTGGGGTGGAGAAAATTTAAGATCACCAACCTTAAGAAAGAACCCCACAGCACTTACCACAAATATGGTTAAAGAGGATGAGGTACTGGCAGCAGAAAGCAGGAAACCAAAAATCCCAGTGAGGGTTAGATTTGGATACTCTAACTTAATAATCTTGCAGCTGCCAAATATCTTCATGTGTGAACAATGAACATGTAGGAAATGCAATCATCAGACATTTCCCATAAACCGGGAAGTTTGGCTGCATTTCACACCTTCTTAATAGTTTTGTAAACAGAGAACTTGAAAATGAGCAAAGATGGCAAGTGTCTAATTTTATAAATGGACAAACTATCTAGAGAATTTCCCCAGTAGAACCTGCCTAAAAGGCAAGATGGTGAATAAGTATTGTATGTACTGATTATTAGAATATACAACACATCTTTAAGAAATACACTTATGACTCATAAAACTGCAAAAAGGAAAAATAAAGTTAATAACATTCCAAATCCAGAATTCCCTAGACAGAGAATATGTTCATTTTCAGAGTCAGGTGTCACTCATATTATTCTCAGCTAGTTAAAAAAGTATTTCCTAGCTGGGAAATTGCTTCTCTCACTGTTTCAATGTTTTACATATATGGATACAATGAAACACATCAAAAGTTTGTCCTTCTAAATTACTTTTACAAATTTTGACACTATACCTTACCTACTGACTTGAAAACATATTAGATGAATGGAACAGTTCACATGAGTTTGTACTCTATATCCATTCAGTGTTAGCAGTTCTTTGTACTGTTAGCAGTTCTAAGTACTGTTTTGAGCCAACGACAGTACTTTACAGTATTGGAAGGAGGTAAGAGTTTTGGAATTTGGCTCATAATACCAATTCATGTACAAAATAGTTATGGAGTATTTTGGAGTACTGCAAATATCAAAGATGGCAGATACGCAAAGAAAAGTCAAAAGGCATTTAAAGCATTGACCTTATATGAAAGCTTAAAATGTAAAAACTCAATTTTTAAAATCTTTTATATCATATAACAACTTTACCAATTAGTTTTTCCATTTCCAATAATTAAAATAGAGAGTTCACAAACTCTTTGAGTAGTGCAGATGGTAAAAAGTACTCCCAGCCATAGATGCCATCTGGAAAATGAGGAGCAGCTGTAGATTTAGGCATATACTAAGGTTGCAAACCCCCATGACAAAAGAGTAAACACATTTCTTACATTCTAAGATAGGCCAGATCAGACCAGACCAGACCAGATCACATCGACCTCCGAAAATATTTTCTCCATCTACCTAAGTTACCTATATCTCATCTGACATTTGGGCAAGACCAGTCTGTCTTCATTGGTAATTCTAATCTGGCGAGTCACCAGGAAAAACTAAGAAATGGTAGCAGCAGAAACAAATGAAATTCAGGCACAGGCAGTGTCCTTACTAGGGGAACTTCTGTGTTTATGGCAACTTCTGTGATTTGGCATCAAATTTTGCTTTTGCATTCGTGCTCTTCGGTTTACTCAACCAACAAAAAAAGCACTGAAAATGTTTGTGGCTATTCACACCAGAAACGTTTTTAACAGTTTATCAACAAAGACCCCCCAGATGGCTATTCCATCATGCACGGTCTGCACAGTTCTAAGAAATTCCTGGAATTTGGTCTGTTATGTAATCATAATGCCCTTAGATGCACCCCCTATCCTAAAGAGGGTTTTACTAAACGCATAACCTCATTCTCTTTCTTTTTTTCGGTAATGGTCACACTCTCAAGTGAAAAATTTGTATCTCAAATTCTACGATTTGTTTACCCTTTAACAAACATGGATAACATCCTTGCTACTTCATTCACAGTCTTTAAGAATCTCCAACAGGTGAATTCCAATGGATTCAGTTTTCTTGAACTTTCTGAACACCTCAGAGCTATTCCAATACTTGTTTTCTCTCCTACTCCTTTCTGTAACCTCTGTTTTTTGGATATCATGTCTCTTATTCCAATTTCTATTTCTCTATTTTGGGGGCTTCTTTTTTCTCTTTGAAATGTTAAGTTTGTTTACTCTATAACATGCCATAATCCCTTTAAAGTACATGCTATCTAAAATCATTTATATGCTATTTTTCATTATTAAACAATCTCTGCAAAATTGCCAATGCATTTCAAGATAGCATATTTTCCTTTTTCTTGATTTTTGTATCAAATCAATATACTGGGTATTAACTGAAAGTCACACTGTGAGTTTGGTGGCAGAGAATAAATTTAAAAATGGTTTTTATAAAACATACTTGGGAAAGTAAAAATTAACAAACATAAATCAATTTAAAACTATCTGAGAAAGTATAAGAGGTATGAGTATGAAAAACAGTAAAACTGATTTTCCTACAACCATCAGAAATTAAAAATTAACATACACATGCTCGACAAATATTAATTTACTGAATCCTTAAAACATCACAGTGTAGTAGTTAATCTGTATTTTATATGTGAAGATATTAGGCACTATCTTATTGGGAGAATCACATGTTAACTCTGGTAATACTTTATTATAATTTTTCCCCCAACTTTTTGGAATAACTTATAACACTCCAGTACATTTTATGCATGTCCTCAACAGTAGAATTTTTATCATTTTACACATTTAATAATCACTATTAATCACTCTGAGTAATAGAGTTCTTGCTTTTAGTATGCACAAAGAATGACAGGGACACATATTACCACACAGGCAATAAGCAATGAAATTGTGACTTAAACTCAAGCCTATCTGTCTCCAAAGACTGAAGCAAAATTCATAGCAATTCAGGAAATTATTACTTTTTAAAGACACATCCTGAATAAGAAAAAAGCCAAATCCACGATTTAATAAGCGGTTTTGACCAGCATAAATTCTTTCTAAAAATCATATAGGCAATTCAATTTTAAAATGTAATCACATGAAGTAGGGATATAAAATAAAGATCATATGTGTATGTGTGTGTATGCACAAGTGTGTGTAGTATGTATGATTGTAGTTCCACTTGTTAAAAAAATTTATGTCAGAACCTACTAGTTGCCTACCCAATATACATCTTCTCTTTATTTTATAATAAAACTCTGATTTTATTGAAGGCAGAATTGCTCCCAGGTAAAGATTACGTTATATAGCCTTTCTCAAAGCAGAGTGTGTTCACTTGACTAAGTTCTGTCAAGTGCTGTGGGGGGGCTTAATGGAAAAGGTTCTGAAAGGGAACTGGTTTAGGTGGGAGATATCCCTCTTTGCCCTTCTTTTTTTTCCCCTTGCCTGAACTCAGATGGGATGGCCAAAGCCATACCAATCACCATAAAATCATGAGATCTAAAAGATGGAAGCCAATATAAGTAAAGTGGAGCAAAAGAGAGGAGGGTTCTGTGTCTGTGATCACTTCAAAGTTTCACACTGGATTTGAATTATAGAAGACATACATTTCTATTTTGTTTAAGCCATTGTTACTTTGAACTAACACAATCTTAGATATAAGTAACACTTGGTGTAAAAACTGAAAATAATTCAGGATTTACATAAAGTATATAATTCCCCTACCATGCACCTAAGAGATGACACTGTTAACAACCTACTATGTTGAGATACATGTGAAAGAGAGGTGTCTTTGAAAAAGGGAGGTAACATAGTAGGTTTTTAATATTGCTATACAATTTAATTTTTTACATATAACTGCAGGTTGCAAGTACTTCTCTCAGTTGGTATTTGTAGCTCTTTATTCTTTATTATAAGCTCTTAAAAGAGAACCAAAAGAGATTGTGTTGTTTTCAAGAGCACTATGTATTTAAAATTGGAACGGGGCCTTCAAAAATGTTGAAGCACATCACTTTGCTTTCCCACTAGGGGTGCATTTTCCCAAACAATTTTTTTTAACTTGAAAATAAAAGAAATTTTCTACTTCTAATTTTAATATTTTTCTGTGACTACCTAATAAGATTGAACTTTTTTTCATGTATATAGGCCATTTGTCTTCAGTTTTCCAGCTCTTTTGTCTAATTTATTACTGTTTTTAAAAACTATTTTATAAGAATTCTTTACATACAGTGCATTTTTTGGATACCAGCATTTGTATGGTTACCAGCTACATAATTCTCAATTATATTAATTCTAACAGTTCTCTAGTTTAGTCTCTTGGGTTTCTATGTTTGATTGCAAACATATCTTAACATACTTAAATAATGATAATTTGACCTGATTTTCCCAATACTTATTTTTGTTTTTCTAATCTTAAACTAGCACAAAAAAAGTACTATTTAATATAGCAATTATAGTAAACCAAATATAATCATAGTTACATATTTTATATGTAATCACATAAAAGATATATCCAAAGTTTCTTTCAGATTCTAAGTAGGCAATATTTCTACCTGAAAAGTAAACTGTCAGAACTCAGAATTTAAATGACTACATGTTTAAAAACATGGCAAATTTTATGTGTCTACATTCTTCTTAAAATGCTTTTATAATTCATTTTCACTTGCATATTCAATTATAAATACCCAATGAAAATATTATCAATATTTTTAAAACTGATGCATCTGGCATGAAAAAATTAGGAAATTTGGAATAACAGTGGTGGGTGAAGTTCAGTAATTAGAGAAATCAATGACTAGTAATCAAGCAGGCTCTGTGTGGAATTCAGACTTTGATCAAAAAGTTGGAACAAAGGAATTTAATTATTTTCTAACCTTCTTTTACTTTAGGAGCTAACTGGCCCCTAACAATAATTACCTTAATTTAAAACACCAACCAATTAAAAAGAATACTAAAAAAAAAATATGATAGCATGGGCCTTTCTTTTTATATTTTAAGTGTTACTAAAAACTCTACCACATTCTCTTTCAATCACAGAGGGAATTACATTTCCAAATTTGGAATCCTTCATATCACAGCTTACACATTGTTTTCATTTTATAACCAAACCTTACAACTTTTTGAGTACTACAGAGATTTTTTAAAACTTTAAATAAGCAAAAACTTCTGCAGATGGGCAGCAGTAACCAAAAATAGGTTATTTCCTGGCAGTGGTAACGATATGAATTTACTTAAACTTGTAACATTACTAAGAAATGAAAACCATTCCTAGAGTTTGCTGAATAATAACTTGTCATAACTTTTTAGTTTATAAGAGGTTAACTGTTTCAAGTATGATAACTATTCTTTCTCTTTACTCTTCACAGATAAAAGATATTTTCCTTGTAATCTAGAACCAAAGGGGATTTCCAGCTTGAACACAACATGTAAATCAGGGCATGCTCTTCAAAGGCAAACCACACTCTGTGGTTATTTAGTTTGTATGGGCCCAGCAACTTATTTCAAAGCTCAATTCTCTCAAAAGATGTTGCTATACTTGGCCAATCTGGTACACTGTCTCTTGGTTAATATTTACATTTATTTTGGTAAAATGTGTTTAATTTAAAAAGAGAAATACTACTTTTTGGTGTGATAACCAGTATCAATTTTAATTGTCTCCAAAATCAAACTCTCGCCCCTACCATTTTTTTGGAGTCCCACATTTCTAACTGCTTGTTTAAAAACGGAACTCTTTCTCTCCTTTTGCAATCCTTTCCACTTCTTCCGAAACTGGAAATGTTAATGATACCACTATACTTCTAGTCACCTAGGCAGGAAACTTTGAATTCACCTTTGGGGCCTCCTTTTTCTTTTGCTTCATCTATCCAACAGGTGCCATGTTTATTTATTTGTCTATTGACACCTCCTTTCCCACTGCCACTACAATAATCCAGAGACTCACTACCTTTTGTCTGGATAATAGCAAGCTCCTTCTAAATCTCCATTTACAGCACTCCTTCTTCAAAACCATTGCTAAATTATGCTTCTAAAATCTGGTTCTTATGTTTCTAAAATCAAGTTCTGGGTATATCACACTCCTGATAAAAAAATAACTATCCTGATATTCTAAACCCTGTTAATTGACTTCAATAACCTTTTAAAAACCTTATTCCCCATTATCACCCTCATCCTTTATGTTCTGTGGCCAAACAATTTCTATAACATATCCTTGACTTTTCCACAGCCTTTGCCTGTGATGTTCATTTTGTCTAGCGTAACATTTCTCTGTATTTCTAAATCCTGTTGTATTTATGCTTTAACATCTAACTAAAATGTTGTTATTCTCCAAGACACTCTCCAGGGTCTTCCACAGCTGAAAGCACAAACCTCTGAACTTCTAAAGTACTTCACACGGACTCCTCTATGGCAGTGTTCTCGAACTTGAATGAGTATACATATCTAGATATATTGGTAAAATGTAGATTGTGATTCAGTAGGTCTGGGAGTCTACAGAAAAGCCCAGGTGATACTGAGGCAGCTGACTGTGGACAATTTTAAGACTAAGGCATTATGGAACACACAAATTTTGATCTAGTAGTCTGTAGTACTCTGGTTATCAGCTTTACTTATTGACCTATTTTCCTATATATGAAGGAAGGATCCTTGTTTTCCACTGCAACTTGTAGCGGGATATTCAATAAATATTTGTAAAAATAACATTGTATAATATCTCTATATATATTTTATAGATTCTAGATTTTCAACCCATTAATAGGCTGTAAACTGTATGTATCTGAGTTTTGTCCAGAAAAAGCCCAGCCATTGTTAATATAAAAAGAACGGTTTGCATGACATCGATGTAACCCGGCAGCCAAGGAGACTGGACTGGAATGCGCAGGCATGAACAATGATGACTTCCCTGTACTAGTCACTAGGGGAGGTAGACACCACTGAGTAAGCATGTGTACTGTGTGGAAAGACTGGATGAGTAGAGCAACAAATCTGCACCAAATTTTGTGATAAGCTTGAACATTATTCCTCTGTGCAAACTATTGCATGATTCAGAAGGCCGCAGCTATGGGCAACTGGTGATTGGAAGCTTCATCACGACAACATTCCTGCTCGTGCACTGTGTCTCATGCTGAGTTTTTTGGCGAAACATCAAATCACTGAGGTGGCCCAGCCCCACTACAGCCCAGAGCTGGCATGCTGTGACTTCTGGCTTTTCCCAAAACTAAAATCACCTTTGAAAGGGAACAGATTTCAGACCATCGATGAGATTCAGGAAAGTATGATGGGGCAGCTGATGGGAGAACTGTGTGAGGTCTCAAGGTGCCTACTTAGAAAGGGACTGAGGCATCACCGTGCTATGTACAATGTTTCCTGTATCTTGTATCTTCTTCAGTAAGTGTCTCTATTTTTAATATTACATGACGGGATCGCTCTGGACAGACTTTGTATAATGCTTATGTATATAATTAAAACAGAATGAAACTGAATCAAAAAGAAAATAAGAGTATATCATAAAATGAGGATAAATATTGTTTCATAAAACTTTTGTTGCAATTATATACACATATGCACATCTGCATTGTACTGGGTCAAAATGTAAAACCTATTCTACATGTGGCTCTGATCAAAAGTAAGAAATACATGTTCTAGATTGAATCACATCCTCCAAAAAGATATGCTGAAATCCTAACCCTAATTAGAGATTAAAGTAATGCTTCCACAAGCCAAAGACCAGGACTAGCGGAGGCTGGAAAAAGAAAGGCAGGATCTTCCTTTAGGGGCTTCGGAGGGACCATGGCCCTGCCAAGACCTTGACTTTGGACTTCTAGCCTCCAGGACTTTTGAGAGAATGAATGAATGATTTTAAGACACCTAGTTTATGGCAGTTTGTTATGATAGTATTAGGAAACTAATACAGCACAAAACATACATTTTAGTTATAGGTTAATTGCATAGCATATTTTCTTAATTTCAAAATTATAAAAGAACATAAAACTATGAACAAAAACATTATCATGGCCATATACATCCAGCATACAAACATTTTCAGGAGATTCTGCAAAATACAACTTTTTTAATGTCCTCATATAAAGTTGTCTCCCCTAGGTTACTCTTCTTTACATCACCCTGTTTATTTTCTTCGTAACACTAATCACAAAGTGTTATGCTTTATTTATTTACTTTCTCTTTCCCGACAGACGTTTCTTCTTACCATACCCCAATGCCTCCATAGTAGGTTTTCAATAAATATTTTTTAAAAATAAAAACAGAAAACTTCATAAAATAAATCTTAATGTAGTAAGTATTAAAATGTAACATCTCCTTGTTCCCCTTCCCTTCCAAGAAAAAGCCCCCTGAATAACGAAGAGACTTCAAATGTAAAATTATTTTAACTGGTCTAAAGCAGGGCCTGGCAAACTATAACCCATGGGACAAATGTAGCAGGTTGCCTGTTCTGGTATATAAAATTTTACTAGAACACAGCCTCACTCATTCCTTTTATACTACAACAGCAGAGATAAGCAGTTGCAATATACGGGATGGCTGCAAGGCCTAAAATATTTACTACCTGATCTACAAATTAGGCCACTCCATTTTAACTAATTGTATTTATACAATACTTGACATCTAATGATATATATTCCAAAGAATATAAGAAATAAATGTTGGAAGTAACTTTTACCTTATTGTAATTTTTGGCTAATTCCAACATCTCTTTTACCACTGATTCGTTATGTTTACAGTGTTCACTGTAGTCCTGAAGTGTCAAACCTTCCATCCAACTCTTCTTATGCAAATTTAGCAACATCTAAAAAATATAAAGAAAGAGTAATTATTTTCCTGTATGGAGAATATTTCCTTCACTTGTCTTGAGAACAACTTCTGGAATTAATGAATTTAATTTTGTTAACTTGAACTGTAATCAGAATTCCCCTAAATTTATATAAAATAAGGAGTACTCTTAACTCCATGGCCTTTATATTTCCTCTTCAGCCTCAAAAGCTCTTTTTCTTATCTTTTGATGGCCTACCTTCCCCACTTCCTTAGAGATAGATGCCTTCACTCACCATAGTATATAAAAAAGCCGCCCCGCACTATCTTAAACATCTTTCTTCCCTTATCCTGCTTTATCATTTTTTTAACATCATCAACAGCTGACTTTTTTTATTTTTATTAAATTTACTGGGGTTACATTGGTTAATTATATAGGTTTCAAGCACAGTTCTACAATACATCATCTGTATATTGTACTGTGTGTTCACCATAACATTGTTTTTTAATGTAATGTGTTTCCTTCTCACTAAAGACAAATCAACAGGGCAAGGATTTTGCTCTGTTTATTTCAAGATCACCAGGGTCTAGATTCTAGAACAGTATCAAATCACAGCAGACCCTCAATAGATATGTTGAATGAATGAATGAATGAAACTGTGTTATATACAAGATCTGGCTTTTTCCCTGATTAATTTAATGTCCTGGATCACCAAGTTAGAATTTTAAAACCTTATTATATCAACATTCTGGGCTTATGGTTACAGATTACATTTCTCTTAAATATATTCTTGTTTATGGTATTATAGTTGTCCCAATTTTTCCTCTTTGCCCCCCACAAGCCTGCCCCCTTTTTCCACAGTCAACCCTCAACCCCCACACCGCTGTTCATGTCCATGGGTCATGCATATATGTTCTTTGACTAATCCCCTCACCTTCTTCCAACCAATCCCCACCTGCCCCCTCCCCTCTTATAGCTATCAGTCTGCTCATGCTTCTGTATCTGATTCTAGTTTGCTTATTAGTTTATTTTGTTCATTAGATTCCACTTATAAGGAAGATCATATGGTATTTATTCATGGACTGGCTTATTTTACTTAGCATAACAGTCTCCAGTTCCATCCACTGTGCTGCAAAAGGTAAGAATTCCTTTTTTACTGCTGTGTAGTATTCCATTGACACACAAGATCTTTAACAGTTCACATAACTCGGATTTCAAATGCTAAGAAGATAAATGCCCCAGTTACTGAATGACTTTATGTCAAACTTCTGAGCTTCTGTTTATAAAATCTATTAATTTAGAGCTTATATTAGGTAACCACTAAGTTTCTTTCAAATTCTAACATTCCATCTATAATTAAAAATATTAAAACTTCTTTACCATCATAATGAAAAGCCATGAAACTGGGAAGGAAATAAATTCATCCAGTGAGCAATCACATTAGCAAATTGGCATCAGACCCTACGAGTAATCATGAAACTAAACACCATAGTTCATTGTTTTGCAAATTGGACTCCTAGTTCCGAGTATATGCCTATATTCTTAGAAGTCCATAAATTTTCAAGTTTAGAGTCTTATGATAGTTTACTTAGTGTCGCATTCTAAAAATATTCTTCAGTTGCAGACTGTTACTGAATAAGAGTTTTTAAAAAATGATTAATACAATTGTCCAATGTGGAAAAAAAAATGTGACTACAGAATGATTGTTGTTGAACCAGTACACTATGAGATTCCTGAGCCATAAGGATGTAAGGATATAGTTGGAAATGTTTGAATTTAGCTTAGGAAAATTACTCTACTGTTTAAAGGCCTGCAACTAGACATAGTACAAAGTTCTTCTCATGCTAGAGAAGAAGCTACATGTCAAAATCATCTATGAGACTTTTTAATAAACAAAATCTTTGAATTCCCTCATGTCCCCCCTACAGCCCACAGGGGAAGAGTGATTTGGGAGAAAAAAACTGGAAAAATCCCACACAAGTACCTCTGATTTCTTTGATTGCTTCCCATCTTTGCCATTGACAGTGAACTAGAAGACACATCCTTGGGAAATTTCAGTGCAGCAGCTACATGTGCAATAAAGCTACCTGTAATTAAGTGTTGGGAATTGGATTTTCCTACCACTTCAATAGCAAACCAAACTTCCACAGAGCAGCAGGATATCCCTACCATGACTGGACAAGAATTCCACTGGGACCCTCAGGGAAAGTTTGGGGTATGTATAAAGGTTGGTGGGATTTTGGTAAAGATTTTGGTAACGAGAAAGTACCTGAACTGAGCTAACAGAAACATAACTATAACATTAGTTAATTTATGTAATTGTATGTGTGTTTTTTATGCAAAAGATGGAGGCCTAGTTTATGTGGAACCAAAAAAGAAGAAAAAAAAAAAGGAATAAAGTTGAAAAAAAAATGATGCAATTAGCTGAATACTTCCAAGTAGTGCTCATTTTCAACTGGTACCTATTCTATGTAAAATTAAAAATAAGTGATGGACTTGCATATGTAGCCTCAGTCTAAGGCTTGTCATACTGGGATGTATTTTGGGATCAGTGACTATATGGCCTGTTAAACTGTTTTCTCACTGAATTAATCCTTTCTGTGTGCAATACTGGTAAAGTTTAATATGAGGTCTAATTTTGGTCTGTTAAGTCTTAGGGAAATATATATGAAGGAAAATGTTGAATGCAACAAATTTAAAAATATTTAATTTTTATTTTTTAAAGATTTTATTTACTTATTTTTAGAGAGAGGGGAAGGGAGGGAGAAAGAGAAGGAGACAAACACCCATTGGATGTCTCCTGCATGCCCCCAAACTGGGGACCTGGTCTGCAACCCAGGCATGTGCCCTAACCAGGAATTAAACCAGTGATTTCTTGGATTGCAGGCCGATGCTCAAGTCCTGGCTAAAAACTTTCTACTTTTAATAATCCAAATGTTTTGTATTTCTCTATTTTCTAAAGTATGATAAAGTTTTTAAAAGTAAAAAAATTAAAATAAATGATGAAAATATACTTCAAGCTATCAATTAAACCTACTACAGCAGATATGAACTTTGGAACACAAGCAAGCAACAGCAAGAGAACTTAATGATTCTGTGTCTCCCCTTAGGCTAAGGGATAACTGGTTTCCTGCAGCCTCTAGGACATTAAAGTGAGTTTATTGGTGGCTTTGGCCTTTTAAAACAGTAGTTTATCAAACTTGAGATTAAAAATGGAAGTTCTCTGGTTGAAAGAGGAGGTAGTATGGAGAGCTCAATTTACTCCCTCTCCCACTCATCACATGCACTAGAATTCCCTTCAAGGGTACCTTTGTGAGGAACAGTTTCAACTGGTAAGAAAGGTCTTGTTTACTACTGATTACTTACCATGTTTTGACTCAAGAGTGTATGAAGGAACAAAAAATTACAGGCTGTCAATAGTACTGAGTGTTCTTGAAATTTTTTGTCTTTCTCAGAGAGAAGCACAAGAAGCCAAGTTGAAGGATGAGTAATTTTAATAGTAAAGGAAAAAAAAAAACCAGTTCAGATTGAAATTTCAAAAAGCAATAGGCAGATTTAAACCTTTGACATGAGCGGAGAGGACAACCATACCTGAAATAATTCCAAAATAGTAGAAACAAAAGAATGCTAATCCACCAAGATGCTACGTCATTTTAAAAGTAATTATTGGGCAGAGGAGGGCAAAGAAAGAAAAGCTGGGACAACTGTAATAGAACAATAAAATATTTAAAATAAAAAAATAAAAATATTGGAGAAAAAAGTAATTAAGTTTGAAAGTTGCCTGGTATAAATAGGGATAAAGAATCTAGCTCTAGCCCTGACCAGGTAGCTCTGCTGGTTAGAGCAGTGTCTCGATATGCCAAGGTTGTGGGTTTGATCCCTGGTCAGAGCACATACAAGAATCAACAAATGAATGCATTAATAAGGGAAACAAGTAGATGTTTCTCTCTCTCTCTCTCCCTCCCTCCTCTCTCTAAAATCAATAAATAAAAAAATTTGAAAAAAAAAAATCTATATCTAAGCTTGACCACAAAGTGTTATCCCACAAAGGAAAAGGCTGCCTGTTCAAGTCCTGGTCAGGGCACATGCCTGGGTTACAGGTTTGTCCCCAGTCAGGGCATGTGTGCCAGGCAACTGACTGATGTTTCTCTCTGGCATCAAAGTTGCTCTGCCTCTCTTCTTCCCTCCCATTCCCTTTATCTAAAAATACATAGATTCTTTAAAAAAATTATACTGAAAAAAAAAAAAAATCTAGCACTAAATATCTGAGAACCCCTAATTGCATTTCCCTTTTAACTCACCTTTAGTTTACCCTAGGTAAACAGAGTATTTTTTAAAAAGCAGTACAAAATTATAATCTAATATATTCCTTTCAAATGTGGAAAACTATTTAGTAATTTAGTTAAAAAAGGTGATTTTACTGGGAAGTAAATTAATCAGGAAAATCACATAACTAGGAGAAAGACTTTTATAATTTGTCATAAAACCAAATTGGAATGTTTATTTCCTACTTTCTCACCTACCAAGAAGTAAAATGTCTTCCGATATATCCAATAAAATATTCCTTTCTTTTATGCTGCAATTCATCAGTAATAAAAAAATATTTAGAACACATCCATGAAATAGGCCAACAATTCAAATTCAAACATACCGAGTCATAATTTAAATGGTATAAAATTTTTTTTTCCTCTTTCTAACATAAAAATTTAAACTTACCTTTTGTTCCAGTTCATTTTTCCGATAGTTAATAGTGATAGAGTAATAATGTCTGTTTAGTCCATGAATTAATGCCTATATAGACAAATAATTTGAAAAAGGACAAATTAATATTTTTCATTTATTAAAATAAATACTGGCTGAAATTGTTAACATAACCTGTAGACAATTCCTTTATTTTCTTAAAAAGTTGTTTTATCTTAAAGATTAAATTAATTTTTTTCTCTCAGCTACAAGTTTAGAATGAGGTTTAAAAGTATAGTTTATAGATTCTTCAAAGAATGATATAGAGCAGCACAAACTCACAGTTTCAGTAGCCTTGCTCAGTCAGAGAGAGAGTGTGACCTCATCATAGTCCAAATTATAAATGAAATATTCATAATTTTAAGTACATAATTTAGTAAGTCTGCTTTATACATTAAGTCTTCTAATCTTCCCAACAACCCAGTAAGTGGGCTACTTCCATTTGTATTTTAACAGATGAAAAAAAGACACAAATCTGAATTCGTCCAGGTTTACAGCTAGTAAAAGGTAAAGCTGGGATTTGAATCCAAGTCCTTCTGACTCCAAAGCCCATGTTTTTTTAACCATACTATGCTATAATGTATCTTAAGACATTATTGGATAAGTCTTTGAATTTTAAGGATCAGGATAAAAATAAAGCATATCTTACTTTGCTAGCAAAAATCACTCCAATAAAACACTTTAATACATACTGTAATAATCCACTTCTATTCCTAACATCCGCTATAATAAAATGATTGATATACAAAATTAAAGTACTAAGAGTATCTATTGATTCCCGATCCAACTTGATAATCACCAGGAACAGTGAATTCAATTTTAGTATATAGAAATATTATACTATACAGATCAAAAAGTGGAACTAATTAGGACCTTAATCTGTACTCATCTTTATGCAAATTAGGAAATGTAGCCGCTGGGTGAAAGAATTAGAAAAAGGTGCCCAGTCCTCCAAACAGACACAGCCTGGCTGGAGAGAGGAGCTTAGATTAGATTTCAGGTGCAAAATGCTCCCTCATCCAAGTACCTCTGTGCAGTGTCCTAGCTACATAGTTCTACATAGTGGCCATATAGTTAATAACAGTTATGGCCAATGATTACAGAAGTTAGCCAATGTGCCCCAGACAGATCCACATTTTGGTGTTAACTACATCGCTGAAATATATAGTTTGGTATTTGAAGGCACCACCTACTTCATTTTCAATTACATTATTTAGATAAAAATAGTAAAACACAGGCAGCATGAAAGATTAGAAGGTATAATAACAAAACAAATATAAGTTTAAATCAAATGATAGCCTCAAGCAGGCTTCCAACTTCACTTCCTCACCTGCTGCGTATCCCTAATGCATTTATCACAAATCGTAAGTAAATTAGCTACGTGTGGTCCCCTCCTTCTAAAAAAGCCCAAAATCCACATCCTCATTTAGCTCAATAGATTCAATAATTCTCTCAAATTAAACAATCTAGTTGACACTGAATTACAAGTTGTGGCAGCATATGCCAAATATATGATTAGTTTTGTCAAGGAAGAGACTAAGCTTTTGAAAGGGTCAAATGGAAAATTAAAGACAATATACTAGCAAATGCCACGGATGTCAGGCAGATAAAGGAGAAAGTTGTATAGCCAGAAAATTCTTAAAACCACTACTTAACTTTTTAAGTTACATCTAATAAAGACACAATGGATTTAGGAAAACTTAGGCAATTCTTCATTAAAATAGGATATGTTCCAGAAGCTCTTTCATTTATTGGCCATTTGAAATCTGCAACAGTTTCTCACAGAAGTAGTATTTTAAAGCATAGTTCTAATTTTATAGTAAGTACGTACTATGAGCTTTCGGTGGCTGACCTGGGAAGCTAGCCACCTTTTATATAGCACTGTTTGTAGGACAATATATTTTAGATTTACTTACAGTGCTTAGCTTCCTTGGTTCTTGGATATCTCAACTCTTGTTTCCTTTGTTCAAAGCCTGCCACCCTTTCAAGAAGAAAGTTCTGTCTAGGTTGGTACTCACGACCAGTTCTAAGATGCTATCTATTCTAGACAAAGAATGGTTTAGAGGAGGAGCTAGACAAAGGGGAGTTTTGAGGTCCTGTTGATTAACTTTCAGATTATTTCAATGCCTCTAGTTAGTCTTTAGAGTAGAGCTTTATAATTTTATTGGTATGACAAATTTAAAACAAGTATATAAATGATCATCACAGTAAAATAAATGTCAAAATCAATCACCATTGAATTATTTATATTTCTGTATTCACAAAATAATATGAAGTCTCATACATTAACAAAATGTCTATAGTATAGGTACTATACTTTCCCCTCTTTACCTGGATTAATAATGGCTTCTCTTATTTAAAATATTAAAGTTTTATATTAAAAAATCCTTCCAACCAAATGTAAGTAATACAAACATTTTGGTGTAAATATGTAGGCACAGTCTATAAAATATATGTTTGCAATTTGTATATCTTATTTTATAATCTTTTTCTTACTTAACATAATAGGAACTTTCCTCAAATTATCAAATACTAGTGTCCAATGAAATAATAATTTTTCAGCATTACTATAAGAATAATAGGAAAAAAAACAGTTTTAGAAAAGTATAGTGACCACCAGCGTGAGTGGCTGCTGTCAGGTTTCTATCTCCACTACTTGAAAGTTGGTTTAGGAACAAGACCCATCACAACACAAGCTAGTTTTTCCTTTAAAATAAAAAGCATGGGCTTTCTGTATAGCTTCTGATTCCCGGGTTAAAAATGCCATTCACTTCATGGTCTTCTGGGTTGCTTTCTTTGTAGCTTGTCTTAGAAAACTAAGAAATTGTTTTAAGGTATAGCTTTGCCGTCACTTTTTGGCTTGATCCCATTTGAGTGTTTTAGTATTAAAATTGTCTTAATACTGTAAAGCACCCAGATAGATGTCACTCTGATGGGCGCTATATAAACTGTGAAATAAATATATTTGCAGATTTTAATTGGAAGGCAAAACAAACTAAAATAAGAAAACCCAGTGACGCTATAGCTCTTATATACTATATACACAGGTCCTTTTAACTTGGGTTTGGAACCTGCTTTATAAGGTCCACATTATATTACAGACTATAAGGTAGGACCAAAAAGTACAAAGTGGACAGTGTAGAACAAAACAGATTTTAAAATACTAATTATACTCAATTTTTAAGGTTAAAAAGCACTGTTTAAATTTGAAAGAGGAAATATGCAACAGGTGGCTGCTGACTTGCAATTAGTAAAAACTTCTGGCAGAGACATACCATGCAGTAATCACAATGATCTTGGATTGTGAGATGCTACTTAACCTTTTGCAAAAATAATAATAATAATAATAATAATAATAATACTAATAATGAAGTAGTATGACGCTATGGGGGGTTTATAAGAAAGGTCATTATCACAGGCTAAACAGGTCCAATAATATATTCTCTTGGAACATGCAAGCATGGGCTTGTCTGTACCCAATCAAAAACACTGGTAGCTTATTTCATACTCATTATACTTTGCAGTTTTCCCTGACTTCTTTTTTTCCCCAAAAACAACACATCCCAAATCCTTTGAAACAAAGCACTTCATTCTGATGAAGATATCAGATGAGTGAATGCTGCAAAAGTAAATATCTAAAAGTACAATTGTTAAAGTATAACAAAGGCTTACCATGGTTAACTATTAAAACCACAAGTCCCCAAAGACAACGGTATGACAGAGCAAGGTTTCAGAGGGGAAATGGCAATAGCTGCTATAAAGTCTTTGTCCTATGTGTTTTGTTTAACCAAACATGTATTTCTGTCCTTTTAATTAATCTTAAGAGAAGCAATTAACTATATAGACACAGGTAGGGGTGCATTTAAAAACACATTTAAAATAATTTTTGCACACTACAAAGATTTGTGTAAAAACAATGAGGCATGTGAATGATACAAAGAAAACATTAATCACTGAGGGGGATATTAAGTGTCTGAAAACTGTAACAAAGGTGGTTGACATCACTTCAAACAAGATATAATCTCTTATCAAAGGTAATATATAGATGTATTTTGTAGGATTTGTTTTAAAGACAATGATTAAACAGAAAAAGTAGAAAATTTTAAATACTATTTGGGAATTGTTTCTAGGGACCTCTTAAAGTTTACATCAATTTTCCCATTATTTACTGCTATGAGAAATGTCTACTTACCAACTAAGAATGATACTTAATGTACTCCATCTGAAACTCCCATTGATCCTTTATAACCACTTTTAACCATGCAAGGCTCTACAATGCTCCCCAAGAGGGTATCCCCAAATTATGAGGAAAGCTTGAAGACTATGATAAAACTGACCCATATATGAGCAAATCTAAAATTTTCAACAATATTTCCATAATCTTTTAAAGCACAAGAAAAATTAACTATAAACAAATTAAAATGCTAAATATTAGGTCTTAGAATGGCCATTTATACCAGCTTTTAAAATGTAAAACACAGTTTTTTAACACATTATCAAATACAGGCATTACCTGGATAGATGGCTTATTTAAGTGACCCAGATTTGAGGTGGTTTGTCTTGGTTCATGTCCTAGGACCATCATATTAGCATTGATCAATCTGAAGGCATCAATAACAACCTGTAAAAACAAGGTGTCAGGTCAATTCTTTTTAAAAAAGCAAGTGATGATGCCAAGCAACAGTGGACAAGGCATGATCAACTTGCATCTGTTTCTGGCCTATTTCCAGAAAATCATTTAATTATAATATTAATAAAAAAGAACCTCCTGCTGACTGTGCCATCAGCACACCACCCTCGATCTTGTAATGTAAGGTGACACCAATTATTGCAATTTTCATGAAGTAGTAAAGAAAAATATTAACTTTGCATCTTTATTATTGAAATACTTCATTACTAAACTTACACCAAACAGGCTTCATCAGTGTGCGTATGTTTGTCACCTAAATTTTACCTAATCAAAATGAATGACAAAGAGAAACTAAAACTGTAAGTGAGCACAAGCTAAGGGACCACATCTAAAGCCCAGTCCTGTCACATCAATTATACCACCACAGTACTTGAAATGACAACAAAATTACAACCAGCAAGGTACTTGCTCCACGTATTCTCTTCTAGTCATATACCTTTCATTTCTTGTGACTATAAAAGACTTTATACCTTGTCTGATGGCCTTAAGTGTCCCAGCCCATGGCAAGAACAGGAGGCACAACACAAGAAAACCAAGGTCATCTGTGCTTTAAGCCAGGAACATGGTATATAGAATGACATGGCCCTACAATCACAGTAAAGAAATAACAATAGGTATCCTCTTTGTGTTAAGAGTATTCAATGTTTCTGTACAGAAAGACTTCGAGTTCTTACGTGATAAAATGTCATCTGTTAGCTCTTATATATTAAGGGATTTAACAAGAATCACATACTATCTTATAGCTTTTTTCTGTTCACTGCCATCAATTTCAAAGAACTCACTAAAGCCTTTAAATGTTGCAAAGTTTTAAGTAAAGCACTGGGACTTTACAACAGATGCCTCTTTCAGGAAATTGAAATCAATTACTGAGAGAATAAACTCACTACATTTATCACATAAAAAAACTTAAAGCAGGATAATACGGTATTTTTAAATTTGTTTTTAATGGTGTTAAACAACTGGGATTTACCAATGTTTTAAAAGCTATTGCTAACTAGACCAGTTCTCATTTATGTAATTATTACTTGAGGATACCAAGAGATTAAAATAAAATCTATATTCAAGGTAAGGAAATGAAATCCAATGAAGTCTGAAAAACAATGTTTGTAATAAATATTACGTTGTATGCTAAAGAACAAGAAAGAAAAGAAAAAAATGAAAGAGAAGGAAAGAAAGCAAGCAAACAAAAACCACCCCTTCTAAAGGCTGCCACAAAGGGTCAAGTTTCAAAGAGTACAAACTTAAACCAAATCATTATGACAAGTTGAATCCCACTCTGGTTGGAAAAAATATTTTTTTAAATCAACTTTGAATGCTGTCTTTATTTCTAACAGTTTGAATTTCCCCAAAGATTCCTCTTGCCTCAAAATAAAAACAAGTATCCTCAGAACATGCATGATTTAACAGTTTGTAAAAACTGTTTTTTCTTGTTATACAATAACTACAATCCAGACTTAACTTTTGAATTTATATATAAATAATTATGGCCTAGGTTTAGACCTCTTCCTTATACTTAAAAAATTTTCTAATCATGTTTTTCCATAAAGCATTAAAAAAATAAGTGCTAATGTCAGACATTATAATACTTTAAAACAGCTGTTTAAAATTTTCTAAGGTTTTCTACTAAGAAGCACATAAAATAAGGTAAAATTAAAATGTAGGCAAAAGAAAAGATGGCACAATTTGAATAAATACAGAATTAAGAATTGCCACCCTTACTATTAATGGTGAATATTTAAGAGGAAAGCATCATTGTGGTCCAACTGTTTATTTAGAATACTGATTCTATTTTAAAATTTCAGTAAAATCACTTCTAGGGGAAAAAAAAACACACTCTACAAAACCATGTAAATTCCATTACGTATCACAACAAAATGCCTATATACTTTTTTTTATATTGAACACTTTCAAACTAAAACAGAAGACAGCTACTTTACATGCATAAATTTCTGTAATACTCCTCTGGAATGTTATAAGCAGGTGTGAAACTTCATGAAAAGGAAATAAAAATACCAGCTAAGTAGATATCATGAGCAGCTGAAAACAAATCTGAATAAAATTTTAAAATTCTATTTAAAAATTAAGAGAAAAATTCAAGAATTTAATATACCACTCAATTAATAAATGACAGCTTAGATGAAATGACATGTCTAGATGGACCATTCCTGAGTAGCAATATGATAGCCAACAGAAAATGAATACTTTACACTCGGATTAAAGGAATTTGCTGCCATCACTATAGCAACTGTCTTAAGGAAACTAACATGTTCAACAACCTGCAGACCAAAATTAGATTTAGTAAGCAATAAAAATATAAATGTGGCAATAGAGTCTACATTTTCATTTCTGTATAATTTTATAATTGTTTTTTGCACTATGAGAATAAGTGGGTTTCCCCTTTAGAGCAACCTATCAAATTAGACTCATTAATGTCCAGTGCACTAATGAGCAATGGGTAAAGAAGGTGTTAATTATGCCATGGTAAGATTCAAGAAAAAGCCCTAGTGAGCACTTGGAGGTGTGTACAAGCTGAAGGCGTTTCTCCATGTTTATGTATTTACAACATGATGCAATAGAAAGACAGCAAAGTGATCACTCCATGGTTAAGAATGGAAATCTTAGATTCAGTATACTGAACAAAGAACCCCCAAGGGTTAATTAAGGTATGAGGGGGACAGGGGAAATAATCCATTTTTGGAGCTACATGAATTTTCTAAAGAGTTTATTTTAAAGTATATATAAATTAAAGCAGTTCAGTTTATGTCTTATAAATCCAAATAGTAACTTAGCCAAAAACTTACACAAAAATTACTTCCTTAATATGTACTAAAAACCTGCAAGCTAAAGTATGAATAATATTTTCATGAATATGATGCTTTTATAATTCCCTTCCATGCTGAAGTCCTACACACTACATTGAATCTCTATTCACCAGCCTGATCATTTAATTTTTTCTGGTACAAGTGCCTTGAGACTTTTCAGAGGTCACTGCAACAGTAGACAGCTTATAACACAACCATTAGCAGTTTGGCTAGCTTAGGGAAACCTCTTACTTTCCTTTTTTGTTTATTATCACTGCATGAATCTGCAGCATATGATAGTTTATAATTTCTCAGGCTTGTTAAATTCATGTTAAAGGTCTGTTTTCTTGTTGAATAAATTTTGTTCATATAATGCTGCCTATTTCATACACTCAGTCTTTAATAGCACCTTTGGTCTATGCGCAACTCACAGATCAAAACAGAGGACTAAAATAGGGGTTGATGATGCTATTTACATGTGTGATTCCTGCTGTCTTCTTGTTAGTAGCTTTAATATAATAGAAGACCTTGTCTGTTTTGTAATTAACACATCTTTACTGGAGAGATATTTGGAAGTGATTGCTGTGAATATACTGGTTAGTAAAATAAACACAATCACACACCACTTTCTGTTATCAGACAAATTTGTGAATTGTACACATTATATTCCAGATCAACAAACTGTGATATAACAGCCAAGTAGAAGACACATATTTATATAACCCTTTATTTTTCTGAAAATATGTATTCACTCTGACCTTGCAAATATAATTAGCTTGTGGGATGTGCAGATTTCAGTACCATGGTTGCTTTACTAATTGCAACTCTTGGAAATAGATACTAAATATTTGGAAGCTGCCAATACAAAATAAAAACTACATCTTTTTTGTACATCTGTCTTAGCTTATAAAAGCAAAATAGTTTTAAAAACAATACTGTGTTCCACGTTTATTCCAAGCATACCCAGGGTCAAGGACCTAGCATTGCAATTTAATAACGAATATGGTTTAGGACTCAAAACTAATTATTATTGAATTCAGCTTAATCCATGTTTTTTGGCTTCTTTCATGAGTATAGTACAGTTTATCCAATATGCTATTTATTTTTAAGTTCATGTTTTCATATCAACTGTTAGGTCACTGAAAGACTAAACTATTTTCTAAAGCACCAATCTATACTTCCCAATTTTTACATAAAAAGGAAGCAAAGCTCTTAAAATTAGTTTAATAAAAGGTGTTTGAAAGAAAAATGCATAAGCACTTCTGGCAATAGTTAGTATAATTCATAATACTCCCCTCTCTTTTTTAATAGCAGCTGCTGCTTTTGGCACTTCCAATTATACTTATATTGAAGTCAATGACTATGGGAAGTGTTTACATGTAAAATGAACTAGATAATTTTTTTTAAAGCTTGAAAAAAAAGTTTTAAGACTTCAAAATCAATGTCAAATGTCAAAAAGGGAAAGACTTACAATTCAGTTACCAGTTAAGTTACATATTCAAAATCATATAAACCCACCACCATATAAAGTCAGTCTCTGAATGATTCTGAAAATGCTAGGTGTGGAAAGAAAAGCAATACCCCCTATCAAATATCCTTTATCACCTAGAAATGACCTGTTATCAACTGCTTAGGCTGTTTCCAGATTCTTTAAAAATTAAGGGTGCACGTGACCTGGGAAGTACTGGAGTTTGTGACCACGTTGTTACTTCTGCTGCCATGCACTGTCAGCCATCTATAAGAGAAAAGCATCCTATGTCTCTTTTAAGTCCACCGCATAAAAAATTCAAAGAAATCTTACTTTTTATGCCATTTCCAATGAAAAGCACTAAGAACTAAAACTGACTCATGCCAAATGCATATCACTGAATCGCTGTGATTTCCTAGTCTCAAGTTTGCAACACAGAAATTATTTATAAAATGTCAATTTTAGCTCTGGAAAAGAAATTCCTCTGTGTATGTACATTTTCTCTCTTCTTCCTTGGAGAATTGCGTACTGTAGCTAGAGATCTGTAGTACAACTTCAATATATTGGGAAAAAGGGGGGATGGGGTGTAACTGGCATAATTTTTTTTTTTGACAAGTGAAGACATGCATCAAAATTCAAACAGAAAAGCCACAAGTTTTGAA